TCTGGACGTATTTCTCCTTCGACTTCCGAATTTTATTCAGGTAACGGTACATACCATGCCTACTGCCTCGAGTATGCTTGGCTTTCGGGCACACCATTAGCGCTCTCCTGGTATGTTACTTGGCTCGCCTGTGTTGTGGCAGTCGTGTGTCTGCTCTGCAGGTGAGGTTGTCATGTCTGGCGCCTCTGTCGGCCAAGGGCTGGTTCTCACTTTTTGGTGGGGTGCTTGCCTAGTTGTGCTTGCGGGGACTGAGCTCTGGCTCTTGGGCCCCGCCTCTCCTGTCAGTTGACAGTTGTGCAGTTTCCTGAGCCTCCTGGGCTCTGTCTTCTCTACGGTTGCTCCTGTGGGTGGAGTCTGCCTCCACCACATAGCTTCTTAGTGCTTTCTGCTTCCTTTCCCCTCTGACATTGATCAGGTTCTTTTTCGTGTCTGTGGCTCCTTTGGGTACTCGGCTTCCTCCTGTGTCCCCTTGTGCATACGACCATACGGACATAAGACCAGAGGAACTGCAGAGGGCCTATTGGCCCGTACTAGGCAGCTCCTATTTCTTCCCACCCATTCCCGCTCATATACATGTCCAACCCACGTTTGCACAAATCGTGGGGCCCCACCACCACGTTACGCGGTAATTGGTTCCGCGAATCACCGAACCTGTTACCGTGCCGGTCATTCCTCAGGTCTTTCCTGATTCTACACTTCTCCCTTTTATGCCCATTGTTTTGTGTACAAAATGTGCTGCAAGGGTAGCGTGTGCCTCTGTCCCAGTTCTATTGTTTTGTGAAGATTGGTGACAATAAACACAACCACACAGAGGCTACATATGTTTTGTTGCGTATACGGTGGTATGTGGGTGTTATTTTGGCGGGCAATGGTGCGAGTTCAGCGCACTGGGAGTCGGTACGGTTTCTCGCAAGTGTCTGTTCTAGACCACACTTGCAGGTCGACTAGTTATTATTCACTACTCTGCTGCTTCTATGCTCGGGCGATACCTCGCCGTTCTCCAAAGGTTGGCAGGCATATTACCTGGAAGTTTGGAACGGTTTGAGTTCCGTAATTGGTCCTCCGTAAAGCTTTGCTTCTTTCGTTAGGCTAATGCATTTGGAGCGAATATCTTATTGGGATAATCTGCTCACTCCACCACCCTTGTTCACTGCTCCATCCTTGTTTACTCTTCCGAGCTTGGCGGGATTGAGTCGATGGCTCCTAAGAGGGGTGTTTGGTGTGGTGTGTTGTTTGGTCACTTTGCATGGGTCTTCAGTGAATTTTGTCCCTGTCTTTTGTTCTTTGTTGTCCTGTGGGGCTCTGACCCGCAATTCGGCGCTTTTGGTTTCGTTGTCGACACCTGGGTCTTTTCCCTCTCGGGACACTCATTTCTTGCCTAACTTCGGTGCCTGACTGCACCCTGCTGTCCATGAGGTCCATCGGGTATGTACGCCCTCCTCTACACATTTTGTGGTTGGTCGTGTGCCTTACTTCCCGGCCGCTCCTTGGGCCGTATTCGGGGTTTTCCTTACCTATTTCCGTTTTTCCTCCTCCCATGCTCCACCTATTTGTGTATCTGGGTCAGTGCTTCTGGCCTATCCTGTTGTTTGGTGCTCAGGTGGGCCTCTGTCCATGTTAAGTTCCCTGCTTTTGGACTTCTCCGGTGTTCCGTTTTGGTACCGAGTTCCTGCGATTTTCTGTGTGACTTCCTGCAGGCTTCGGTGTTGCACTGTCTGTGGGGGGTTGTGGACTTTTGGTCTGCCGCTCCTGCCTTCCTGGTTCCTTTTCTTGGAACCGGGTTTGCTGGGTTCCGGTCCTGGCTCCGGTTTTTCTTTGTTCCTTTTCCGGAACGGGTGTGTTTGCTTTCCTGCGGTTCACGTCCTGGGTAGTTCTCCTCTTGGATGCCTCTGGGCCGCATGCGTCTTTCTTCCCTGCTGGAGCTGGTTATCTTACTCCTTTGGGTTGCGGGGTCGCAGTTTTTCGATTCGCATTTTGCGCTTTCATTTGTGGTGCTAGTTTCTCATCGTTTGTGTCAGCACTGGTGGGTTCCTTATTGGTCTCCCACCTGCGTGTTTCGTCTCGGGGGAGGTGTGTGGTTTTCCTGGCGGTCCTTCCGGTTTTCCTATCACTGCGACGGGTCCTGCAATCTTTGATAGGGTTGGCTTGTTTTCCCTTCGGGGTTGTTCCGGGTCCGTTGTCTGGGCTCGTGTCCTGTCACCTCATATTGGGTGGTGCTGGCGGAGCCGCTCTTGCTTGCGTTCGGTGTTGCGGTTCCTTCTGCTCCATACCACTTGCTGTCCTGGGCGTTGTTCCCCTGTGGCCTGCTCTTGAGTGTTGGTGCCGTCCTGGTAGTTGGTCTGGGTGGTCTATTTTCTTCTCGTTTTGGTCTTTGTTTTGTCTGTGGTCATGGTTTTTAGGTTAAGGCGCGTGGCATCTGCCTCCTTCCCTGTTTTCCTTATCTGTGGTGAGGTAGCTCCGGGGAGCCGATGGGACTCCCCCCAGAAAACCAGCGTTGAATGTAATGAAACGCCATTTTCTGGGCGAGTCCCGGAGGCTCCCCGGCATCCCTCCCTCCCTCTGGTCGGCGGCATTTTTTGTGTATTTTGACATCCAGCCTAAGAACTGCCAGTTGGATCGCCGGCGTGGAGGGTCTGGGGCTCCCTCTTCCCCCTCCCGGGGAGGGGGAGTTGCGCAGACTGTGGCGCAGCGATGTGATGACGTCATGCTAGTTAGATAATTATATTTGGGGAGTTATGTTCACTTGTTTGGCTTTCGGTAGCAATATTTTTACCAGAATAGGGGTTTGTTTTGGGGCGCCTACCTTTCTGGGTGCCTATCCTGGTCGATGGCAGACATAGAATGCTCCCAACCACAAGGGGGTTTCTATAGGCCATTGCTCCTCGTGCCTCTCTGAGGGGGCCAGGTTCTGGCTCGTGGTCCCCGGTAGGCAAGAACTCCTAGCACTTTGACTGATGCCAGAAAGTTATGCATATCCATTCAGCCTGGATAGCTCCGGGGAGCCTCTGGGACTCACCCAGAAAATGGCAATTCATTACATTCAATGCTGTTTTTTTTGGGGCGTGACGTCATCATTCCCCGTGCGCCCGTGCCGTGAGCTCTCGGGGGCGGTGGGGCGCTCGGGGCGGGGCGCGCGAGTTGCCGCGAATATATTTTCGTTCATTTTTTGCGCACCTTTCCAAATACATTTTCATTGTTTTTATGTGCCAATCCAATGTATAATGAACACGTACACTATAATATCGCAGTACAACATCCGTACTGTCCGTAGACACTGTGTTACGTGCATGAAACTTGTGTACACATATGCAGCACATATTTACTATGTATCATGCTAATTTGTGTATATATACAATCTATTTACACACTATACACTGTCACACACTATATACATTCACTATCAACACATTCAGAACACCGTGTAGCAGCTGCTTCGTATGGGCCAATAGCAGCTGCCTCGTATGGGCCAATAGCAGCTGCCTCGTATGGGCCAATAGCAGCTACCTCGTATGGGCCAATAGCAGCTGCCTCGTATGGGCCAATAGCAGCTGTCTCGTATGGGCCAATAGCAGCTGCCTCGTATGGGCCAACAGCAGCTGCCTCGTATGAGCCAACAGCAGCTGCCTCGTATGGGCCAATAGCAGCTGCCTCGTATGGGCCAATAGCAGCTGCCTCGTATGGGCCAATAGCAGCTGCCTCGTATGGGCCAATAGCAGCTGCCTCGTATGGGCCAATAGCAGCTGTCTCGTATGGGCCAATAGCAGCTGCCTCGTATGGGCCAACAGCAGCTGCCTCGTATGGGCCAACAGCAGCTGCCTCGTATGGGCCAATAGCAGCTGCCTCGTATGGGCCAATAGCAGCTGCCTCGTATGGGCCAATAGCAGCTGCCTCGTATGGGCCAATAGCAGCTGCATCGTATGGGCCAATAGGAGCATTTGGCCATGAACACATTCAGAACACCTCGAGTGAGAGCAGCCACACCCAGCCTGTCTCCCTCACTCCAACATCTTACTCGCCAACATTGCTCCTCCCACCATATTGTTATAGTTCTTATTACACATGTTCTATATACCTATCTACATGTTTTATTTACCAGATCTATGCAAGTAAGCCAGTATTGTGTCCAAACAGTACAGTGGCCACCATACACTGCATGAAAAATCACACAGCAGACGACGCTACGATTACGTCACCTCCCTCACCAAAATAGCTCCTCTCAACATTCTTCTGTTGCTGTTCTTACACTATATACACACACTATATATACCCATGTACATATGTGTTGCCCATAGCGAACCACTAAGCTAGTATGGTGAGCAAAACAAGAGTGGCAGCCACACACACAATGAGGCTACCTCAATTCTCGCCCTGCCTCCCTCATCAAAATTCCTCCTTCCACAATACTACGCACAACGCTAATTATAACCACATTCCTGCTATTATCACAATCCTGGTCACTAATTCCTGTAAATGAATAATTGACCACACGTTTATTTTGAAAAGGAACCTAAGAAATCATTTGAAGATTCCTAGATGAACGAAATAATGCTGTGGTGCTGTGGCTAGCGCTGTGAACATCGTGAACAGCATTGAATCACTGATATTTGAACATTGTACCCAGTCATTATCACACTCAGGCTCTAATATAACACTATCATAGCTAAATAATACAAGTTATATATATATTTTGACATTATTAGGCGATGCTGTGGTCACATGCTGAACAGCAGTGCTGTGCGCTCATGCTGCGAGCGCCAGCCTTGGTTGCTCACACACTACTGAGGCTCCCACACCCAGGAATGTGGACCACGATTTTTTTTAAAGATGGCGTCTGTTTACAAGAGCCCTGAGGAAGCTGATGTGAACCCCATGTGGCCGCGGGAGTTTTGAATGGAACGTGAAAAATACAAATACCCGGAGGCGCGTTGCGCAAACCAGACGTGAGCCTGCAGGCGCGTTGCGCAGTTTAAGGGTTAATCCTATATTCTTTCTTTCTGCAGGTTTTTCTAACACCAGAAGAATTATAGAATTATACTTGTATTGGCAACAGTGACTTAAGCTCACAGGGGTGATAGGAGACATTTAAAATCAACACCCTTGTACCATAATGGTTATGTAAGTGACAAATTATTTATGTATATCTGTAAATGAATTATATATATATATATATATATGCAGTATTGTATAACCAGTGTTATAAAGCAACCCATTACAAAAAATACTCCTGTGTCCCCACTTACTGATCTTAAAGCTTATCCTACCAAAATGTAATGTCTTTACATACACACTCTCTGCAGCCTGTGGATGGTACTTGCACTGCATCAGTACAAAACCTTGAAGCTCTTCTCGGCATCCTGACCTATACATTCTGTGCAGCCTGTGGATAATACTTGTACAGCATCAACGCAAAGCCTTGAAACTCTTCTCAGCATCCTGACTGCTATTTTCTTGGCAGCCTGTGGATGCAAGTTAACCATTCCATTTAATATTTTCATGTGCACCACTTTTGGAAGTACTGTTTTCCTTAGCACATTATTATTATTATTATCTAACAAACTAAAACGTTCACCCATGATAAAAGAATTGTGCATCCTATATTGGACATTTATTGAATATTAATTTTGCATTTTGCACAGTGTGTTTATACTCGGTGTATAATATATAATGGTGGCAAGTGTTTAATATACAGTGGTGGTAATATTGAAAATAAAAAAAGAAATTTTCTAGCCATTTTACCAAATAATAAAATATCTGACTTGCCATCGTCATTATCGACCTGTAGTGTGTGCGCACGTGACAATATTTAGAACTTCTGTCATTAATTAAAAAAGATTATCAATTTGCAGGAAATGCAATAATTTTGTTGACAATTTGATTAAATATGCTTGCTATTTTGAAGATTTAAAAAAAAATTTGACAATCAAATTTACTATCTGTACATGCAAGTAAATAAATACTTCAATAAAAAATTGGCCATTTACCATGTAAGTATAAACTTCAAGATATAATTGCAATTGCATGCTGTGCAGGTTCATGCATTCATTGCTTGAGCATCTTTTATGTTCCTAGTTATAAACGTATGTACATGATATGAATCTTGACAAGCAATAACTCTACCTTAAAATTTTAATAAGATTAATTTCGGTTACTTTGCAGAGGATTCTACACTTAAGCATTCACATCTTCATTCAATGTTCTTGACATATCATATATCAACCACTATTTAGCAGAACCTGAATATTTTGTAGTGGTGAGATGCCAGTTCATGGTTTTACTTTTATAATTGTTCATATTAATTTACCAGGGGCCTCGTAGCCTGGTGGATAGCGCGCAGGACTCGTAATTCTGTGGCGCGGGTTCGATTCCCGCACGAGGCAGAAACAAATGGGCAAAGTTTCTTTCACCCTGAATGCCCCTGTTACCTAGCAGTAAATAGGTACCTGGGAGTTAGTCAGCTGTTACGGGCTGCTTCCTGGGGGTGGAGGTCCTGGTCGAGGACCGGGCCGCGGGGACACTAAAAAAGCCCCGAAATCATCTCAAGATAACCATAGAAAGAGAGAGCACTAAAGAAATATAGAGTATTCATTGTCTCATACACATGAAAATTATTTCCTTTTAGAATTAATCATGATTGAGAATTCATGACAGATAATGTGGTTAGAATTAAAAATTGTAATTGAATATAAATTAACTGGCATAAAATCCTAAAATTAGATGTCTAATTGAAGACATTTGGAAGTTAATGTGAAGGTTAGCCTGCACAACCCATCCCGTAGGCTGTGAACAAAGTGCAAATAAAACACAGTATAATCATCACTAATATAGATATATAATATATTTATATTCAGTTCAATTCATGTGGCACCTTACATTGGTTTTTCATATTGTGTTACAAAGAAAGTTTTTCTAGAATATAGATCCATATTATTGACTATATTAGCTAATTTAGGAACTATTGTCACTTAAGGGCTCTTTAAGTAGATGAAGCATGTCTTGAGTCACACCTTTGATCTTAACTAGAATAACAAAATATGAACTAACATCTACTGGAATATTTAGTATTTGTTCATTTATAAACTATATTGGTTTTCAGTATCCATAAAATTTAACTTTATACCCATTTATATGTAGTAATGGCTTCAGAAATCACTTCTACAGACCAGCTTCTTGCAATTAGCAATATAAATGCTGCTATTACCCGTTTGAATGTTTACTTAAGAAGATCTATAGAAATGCAAATGGTAAGTCAAGCAGAAGAGAAGCCATATCAGTGTTCAGAGTGTCTAAGAGAGTTTTCGCGGAAAGATAAATTTATACAACATATGAGGGTTCATACTGGAGAGAAACCATATCAGTGCACTGTGTGTCAAAGAGGCTTTTCACAAAAAACTACTTTAGTACAACATATGAGGGTTCACACTGGAGAGAAGCCGTATCAGTGTTCGGAGTGCCAGAAAGAGTTCACTGTGAAATCAGCTCTAGTAAGACATAAGAGAATTCATACAGGAGAAAAACCATATCAGTGTTCAGTGTGTCAAAAGGGCTTTTCGCAAAAAGCTACTCAAGTACAACATATGAGGGTTCATACAGGAGAAAGACCATATCAGTGTTCAGAGTGCCCAAAAGAGTTCACAGTAAAATCAGCTCTAGTAAAACACATGAAAGTTCATTCAGGAGAGAAACCATATCAATGTTCACAGTGCCTGGAAAATTTTGCCATGAAATCTGATCTAGCAAAACATAAGAAAGTTCATAAAGAAGAAAAACCACATCAGTGCTCGATATGTTTAAAAGACTTTCCACGACAACAAAATTTAATAGTGCACATGAGAGTTCACACAGGAGAGAAACCTTATCAGTGTCCAGTGTGTCAGACCTGCTTTTCACAAAAAAAAAGTCTAGAAGCACACATGAGAGTTCATACAGGAGAGAAGCCATATAGTTGTTCAGTGTGCTTGAAAGAGTTTACCGTGAAATCAGCTCTAGTAAGACATGAGAGAATTCATACCGGAGAAAAACCATTTCGATGTTCAGTATGTTTAAAAGACTTTTCACGAAGGCAAGGTCTAGTAGCGCACATGATACTGGAAAGAAACCATACCAATTTAAGGGGCATGAAAGACATAAAAAAAAATTACTCTGGTAAAATGTAGTTGAGTTCATTCAAGATAAATATTTTAATATTCATGGTGTATTAAAGATTTTTGACAAAAATCTACTTTGGTAACAGGATCTTGTTACTTCTTGCCACCCATGTATATATGCATAGATAATCATGTATTTCCTGATTCTTGTAATCTGGAAGTTGAGTATGCCAATGCTTTTTTAGTAGAAGATAGGGGCAGAATTGAAGATTGTTTTCCAACTGAACCACATTGACTCTAGTGTCTTGGCATCCTGTCTTCAGACCAAGTCCATTCTATCCAGTGGTCGACCCAAAAGACGCATTCATCAATTTTAACATGCTGTTCATTCAAAATAGGAATTTTCTCAAATATAAATTAATATTGTTATATATTAGCTTACTGTGCATATTTAGGCATTGGTTAGGTTAGGTGTTTAGGTTCCATTGGTAATTATTTGTTTTTGTAGTACATGAGTGAAACATTTACAGCGTCGTGGCTCGAACAAAAGTTGTCAGTGAAGCACTTGTTCCGGAAGTGTTCGGACGTCATCAGTTGTGAGTCGTGTGTAAACCATTTTTCATTCATAAACAGGGGGCGGGGGGCAATTTGATGGCTGCATGGAATGGACTTTGGCCTTTGTTTATGGGGATGGGCGGTGTCTTGGCTAATGTTGGATCAGACAGAGATTGAGGAATTGGCAACGGTATCAGTCTTTGGTATGCATCTGACTCAGTGGTGATGTATGTTAACTTTCCCCACTGTCTCCTGGGATTTTGCTTTTCATTACCTAGTTAAGTTGTGGTGGGTGGAGAATGTAGTGCTGTGTAGTGAAATCCTAGGTTGATTTGTTGTGGACATTACACCTATTGGTTCACATTCTGTAAATGAAGTTGACCCCTTGCTGCCTGCTTTACTGACTCTCATGGATGTACCTAAATTTAATTTTATTCCTGTGTCACAAAGTTCTCCTGTAATGGTACTTATAACAAGTATTTACAGAGAAACCACTGCAAAATTGCTTGTATTCACTGCCAGTTGCGCACAATTTATCTCAAGAGAACTGATGAGGGAACCGTAGTAACTGATACAACGTTCCAAATTTTTGAGAATTCAGTCTCTTGAAGAGATTTTGTACCCCAGTGTGGCAGTTCGAGCAAGGATAGTCATCAATTCGTATTTCATTATTGCTCTTGTTTCAGAGATCTTACTGGCAGTACTGAAAGATTGCATCAGGGAAAGGGGCAGAATGATTATATATATATACAGTGTGTCCTCACTTGAACGAACTATATGGGGCGAAGCCGATTCGTTCCAGTGCGGAATTTGTTCCATCCGTCCGGCCCCAACAACCTTCTTAATTTTTTTTTTTAAACATATGCCAGGACACATTACAGTACAACCTCGATTCAACGTACTATATGGGACCACCCCCAGTTCGTTGGATTCGTTGCAAGAGGTGACCTTCAAGAGGCGTTTGCGTCAGTGTCTTTTTTTTTTCTTGTACACAATAAAAATGCATTGTATCATATTACATACTCTACCTATATATTACTTCTCTACTAAAAATACTGTAATTCATGTATTTACCTTATTGTTGGAGTTATGTCCATCTTGAAGTTTTGTGAAGTTGTGAGTGCTCTACAGTAAATACGTACTGCAGTGCATTATGCCGTTAGCACTGTATTATTAAAAGTGGTTTTGCTGTATGTTGAGTACTACAATACAGTTCTTGAAAACTATTGTACATTAGAATTATTGCAACTTTAATTTTAACACTATGTACACACTTAAATTTAACACTTATTCTAATTGTTCACTTCACACACGATGTTTTTAGATGTTTGCATCAGCTTTGCTGGTGCTCGCTGCTGCTGTGTTGGCTTCAGCTGCTTTTGTGCTGGTGCTGGGTACAGCTGTGCTGGTGCTGGGTACGGCTGTGCTGGTGCTGGGTACGGCTGTGCTGGTGCTGGGTACGGCTGTGCTGGTGCTGGGTACGGCTGTGCTGGTGCTGGGTACGGCTGTGCTGGTGCTGGGTACGGCTGTGCTGGTGCTGGGTACGGCTGTGCTGGTGCTGGGTACGGCTGTGCTGGTGCTGGGTACGGCTGTGCTGGTGCTGGGTACGGCTGTGCTGGTGCTGGGTACGGCTGTGCTGGTGCTGGGTACGGCTGTGCTGGTGCTGGGTACGGCTGTGCTGGTGCTGGGTACGGCTGTGCTGGTGCTGGGTACGGCTGTGCTGGTGCTGGGTACGGCTGTGCTGGTGCTGGGTACGGCTGTGCTGGTGCTGGGTACGGCTGTGCTGGTGCTGGGTACGGCTGTGCTGGTGCTGGGTACGGCTGTGCTGGTGCTGGGTACGGCTGTGCTGGTGCTGGGTACGGCTGTGCTGGTGCTGGGTACGGCTGTGCTGGGTACGGCTGTGCTGGTGCTGGGTACGGCTGTGCTGGTGCTGGGTACGGCTGTGCTGGTGTTGGGAACGGCTGTGCTGGTGCTGGGTACGGCTGTTCTGGTTGATTTGCTGCTAGTTCGTGAAAAATATTGACTCGCTTTCATTTTTTCCTTCTTTTTGTCATGTCCTTGAGACAAATATCTTTCATCGTCCTTAGGTGTTGATAAAAGCCTGGTAGTTCTGGATTGTCAGTTTGTGAAACAATATCAAGGAGTTTTTCAACATAGAACAATGTGTCAGCACACGTAGCAGATTGTAAACTGCTATCATTCTCATCCTCATCTTCCTCTCCGTCGTCGTCGACAGTGCCAGTAACATTTTGTATAATCTCATCATCTGTTAAATGACCAATGGGTGGATCGACTGCATCAATATCTAACCACTCCTCCACATCGTTCAGCGTCAACTCCACCTCACCAGGGGCACGCAGTTCTTGATAAATATCATTTGAAAATCCTTCAAAATCCATTTCTTCCTCAGTCACTTCATCAGCATGATCAAGCAACAGGAGTTTTTTCCAACAATTTCTTAATGTTGACTCTTGAACTTCATCCCAAACTTTAGCCCAGTTGTAAATGCCTTCCTTAATTGAGTATTTTTTGTAACGTTCCAGTGTTGCTTGACCTCGCGAATCGGTTCCTTGTCTTTTGTCTTCATCTGACTCAAACACCACCATGATTTCTTTATTCATTGCTCGTTTGTAGAGCCTTTTCATTGCATATATAACACCCATATCCATTGGCTGGATCAGAGAGGTGGTATTGGGAGGCAAGGCCATACATTTGATGCGTCCATCATGTGACGTTAATTTGTCGAGCCCTACATGAGCTGGGGCATTGTCAACCAAGAGTAATGCTTTGACATCATTCTGTCTCACTCCACACTTCTTTATCTGAGAATCTCTTACTTCTTTGCAGAAATGATTTTTGAACCAGTCTACAAAAATATCTCCAGTAAACCAAGCTGTTTTAGAGCTGTAGTAGACCACAGGTAGCTTGCTCATTAAATTTTTCAAAGCACGTGGTTTTTTTGACTTCCCCACAATGGCGGACTTTGTTCTGTGACTTCCGTCTGCATTTGCACACAGCATGGCAGAAACTTTTTCTTTGTTTACCTTACGGCCAGGAACACTCTCATCTAGCCTAGATGCCAAAGTGTTGTTCTGCAAGCATTTCCAATTAAAGCCTGTTTCATCGGCATTGTATACCTGAAAACGCCTTAGATCATTTGTTATTATGTAATCATTTAATTTACGCTTAAATGGCTCGACTGAATCCGTATCTGCACTTAATGATTCTCCACAAACTTTCCTGTTCTTAATATTTTGTCTATTCTTAAATCTTTGCAACCATCCTTCACTTGCTCGAAAATCTGAAATGTTCATCTTTTGTGCAAATTTATCGGCTGCTGTCTTAATGGCGTCGCCGCCAAGTGGCATCGCCACAGAGCGCTCCTGGTTAAACCATTTATACACAGCTTCGTCCAAATTCGTATTTGCAGAACCTTTTATTGTTTTCCTTTTATTTAATGCACCACTATCACTCGAAGCAAGAAACTTCCTAATGTCATATTTCTGTCTCTTGATATCACACACCGTATTTTTCCCGACATTAAATTCTGCTGCCATCCTAGTAACAGAGTAGCCACGTTCATGTTTCTCTATCATATCTAATTTCTGCTCAATGGATAAAAAACTTCTCTTCCTCTGTGCAGATACAGCACGATTAGCAAACCCTTGAGACATCTTGTTGTATATTAATAAAGCTGTAGTAAAAAAAATGGTAAATTCCACGATTATTCTTTCACCGGCGGACAAACACGTCACTCGCACGCAGACAAAGCTAACGGCACTGGGTGCCTACTGTATAAACGCAGACTAGGTCTATACACCCTCCAGTAGGCTGGTGTTTAAGCCAGATCCAGTAACATAAATTTATCTCAAATATTGGATTTACATCATATTATATATTTTTAGGTTATATATTTAGATTAGTAACATTATTAGGATAATAAGAGATATAAAAAACTTATTTTAGAACTGATTTATTAATTTTATTATTTCGAAGCCGTAGTCACTGAACTGTGGCGACGAAATGAAACGAGAAACGCATGGTGCTGTGTGTACAGGGATTAGACCCGTCCACTCGCTCACGCTGGAGTTGTTCCAATAACAAATAATTTCTCAAATAGCAGATGTCTATCATATTACAGTATATTTTCGGTTTTATTTAGTTTAGTTTAATTAGGATAATAAAAAGCTATTAAAGCATTGGTTTTAGAAATGATTTATTAGTCTGAAACTTTCAAAGTCATGGGTCACTGAACTATAACGACACAGACGAAGGAAAACCAAGTGAGGTTTACAGAACAGTATTCCCTTATCTGTCCACCCTCACTCACCTTGTTTTATCACAGAAAATGTCTATAAGGAGATTTTACGACATGTAGCTAGCTAATCACGCTTCAGCCTTTAAATTAATTTACAAAGATACGTCTGCCACAAATCAGTGAACGAAAATTATGGAAACTCGATCGTTCATTTGTGTGGACCACTCTGGCTGGTATCTGGTTCATGTGGTTGACTTGTTGTGTGGACCATTCTGGCTGGTGTTTGGT